CATGTACAGTTGTCCTATTACGGTTATCAGCATTCAGTGTTCCTGAGCGGCATCGTCTTTGGAATGGTGTTAAATCAGGTGCAACCCTAATATTAGTGCAGGGTGTTGAAGAGCCTATTATCTTTCCAGACTTCAGAAAACTTCTAGATTCTTCAATAGACCTGAACTTGAAAAGCACCGGACATCAGTGCTTTGGAGATTTCTTATGAAGACACAAAACCTGATATTCTGTCAACGACATATCACAAATCTTTAGAAATGAAGTTTCACGTTTGGCAATAGGCCCTCTGCCTGGAATGTTACAAGCAAAACGTTATATGAAGACATAATCCTCCTAACAGCTTCTTTAGCCAAATAGCCAATTATGAGCTCGGATTTGATGAGTGATTCTAGATAGATATTTTGTGATGGGTCACACAGCTACGAGATTAGCAAAATGCTGTCAAACTTGCCCTTCAGGTCCGCTATTGATTTCTGAATTGTCAGTAAATCAGTTTAGACGAGCTCCATTATCATTCAGTTCCTCCATGCTATCAGATATCGCAGATTTAGGTGTGTCTGGTGTCAAATCTGTAGAATCGCCCATGGAACTGAGGCTTTCACATGGTTGACGAGCATCAGATCTCAGTCTCTTAATGGTAATTACACGTTTGACAGCATTAACCATCACAGGAAAAAGAATTTCCCCGATTAACGGAAGAAAAGTTTGGATCACGGTTCATATGAATCAGATTGTTGTATCATCAAAGTACCGAAAGCAACAATAATCAGCTTCTTATTTGAAAATAAAAATGCTAACTCTCCTTTAATAATACTGCTTGTGTATAAAATCCTCAGTCCCAAGTGGTTAGAAGGGGTGTCAGCAGATTCTGGGTTGTAGATTCCACAAACGAATACTATATATAGTTCCAGGTGACACAATACAATCATTGTTAAGTAAGGAAATGTGGATGTTGTGAGGAATTTGGCTAAATTCCAAAGGAATATAGAAAGGTAATTCGCACGGGGACAGAACACCTGTAGAGCACACGTTCGGAATTATGTGCCTTTATACAGCAAAAGATGTAATCTTATTGTAGTGACTCTTGGTTAAGAAATTCTGGTATAATTCAACCCTTACTCCTACAATTCGTTAACTCTCGCATTCTGCCTATTATTCTCTATGGTTCACCCTTAGTTTTCCCGGGCTACTGAAGAAAGACTATAACATATTACGCAGGATGTTAAAGGTTGTCAGCAGTGTAAGCAACGTGCCACTTAACCAGCTTGTTAATATTCTGGTTGACAGGCACATGGACTCATGTGAATAATGGGCCAAATCCATTTATCTAACTCACACCACCCTCTTCACTCACAACTCTCCCCCTGCATCTCATCAGGTAAAACCAAAAGCCAATATAGAAAACTAAATGCTTGCACCAGCAAGTATAAAAACTCAACCATACCCTACTTATCTCGTGTCCTGTGCGATAAAGAAAGCATTAGGCGTGATACCTATAATACATTAAATGGTCAGTAGAACAACTGAACCTCGTCTTTCCAACTCATATCATTTATAGGTACAACATTTTCTTTCTTATCCTTTTCTCTCTCTTTTTTCTCTTTTTTCGGTTATGTGCTGCTTTGTTTCTTTCTTCCACTTACACCAGTAAATATGATAGCACCTACTTTTCTAACACTTTCAAACACTGTTCAGCTTTACCTTTGCTACCGACACGCCAATATGTTGTTGTCATAATGAACTGAGATTTCGTTAATCTATGTAGAATTCTATTTATTGATAATGTACTGACTGGATGCTGAGAATTCCATTCTGTATCACAAGTACTGTTTTGGAATAAAGCAAATTATCATTATTTTTAATTAAATGAAGTATAATAATGGATGATGCAAGAATCTAGCTCAAGCATGACACAAGTGCGCAGTAAGATGACAGCAACAACAGTAAGAAGTTTGAAACACCAAAAGCGCTTCTATACACGGAAGGAACCTTTAAGAATTACGTTGAATTCTTAGCTCATCAGGGACAGAGGTGGCACTAAGACCCACCGACTCAGGAATAAATTGTGTTCGTTAAAGTATCCCATGGAACCTACTAAACAAAATGATACAGATTATCTAATACCCCGTAATTATAATCAGGCCATATAAGTATGTAAAAGCAGTGGGACAGTGTCAACCAGACAAGCTGAACACAGTAACCTAACGAAGTTCAGGTTAGCTGACCATAATAAGACTATAGTTTTAGAAAATAACTCAGCTGTGGAACAATATTAAACCATGCAGTTAGATGGGACCAGATTAGCCTTTGAAGAAAAAATAACAATGTGGAAGAAGAGACTGATAACCAAATCTTTATTTATCGAATTAGCCGAAAATACATGCAGCAGAAATGATTCAACAACTGCTTCGGACATCTTGAAAATCTAACTACTCCAACGACGAATTGAAAGGAATAAAGTGAACCACAAGTTTCAAGTTTCAAAGTTCCGTACTAATAACTGATATTAATATGAACATAAAATCGGGTTCAGAACACCTATTAAATAGTACTGTTCCACTGTGTGATATGTCTGAGGAAAAAATTAATCTTGGGTTACTCAATGCCATACTGCCCAAGTTTTTCAAATACATAACCATACCTTAAGTATTTGTAGGCAGGCTGAAGGATTATTTGGTTACTGCTTAGTTAGTTCGACTGAATCAGTTTATTAAGACGCCAGGAGGACACACTTCACCACTGTGAAGAAACAAAGCCGACTAATATAAGAGACTCCGCCTAGAGTCATAGAAACATTTTACCTGGGGGACCCCTAGTGAACATATCCTGCGTAAATATAATATAGCATATGGTGGTAAACGCGAATCTCAATCTAAACACTGGTTAATTTTCTCTTGTGAATACACGGGAATTTCGGTTAATAATATTTGAAGTACAGCTGCGCTCAACTTTTCACAGTTGAACACCCCTATTTAATCCGAGGATGGAAAAAAACTCAATAAGAACCTTTACATAACCATTGAGAAAAATTAAGGAGAATATCTGGTTCAACTTTATTTTATCTGACATTATGATTTAAGCTTCAAGTAAGCCCTGTTAATTTTCTGAAAGACATTTCATGAAGTCGTAAATGTCACGTTTGCCATGCCGCCTGAGTAAAGCGCCTCTCTCTCAATTTGTCTGAGTGGTTTAAAGTCAAACCTGAAAGAAGACATCGAAATGACAACTAAGTGAGTAAATACCTGACTAATGATAGCAGTAAAATCCAAGAGAACTACGGCAGACGGGGAGCAGTGGCAAACTAATTTTTCATAGTTTTCCCACAGCGGTCGTCACAAATCGCAGCGTAATCTGAGGCCACCCCAAAGGAAAACGGGATAGATTTCGCTGGTAGATCCAAGCAATTTATTATAAACTCTAAATAAACTAGATACGAGGAAATACATGGGAACCAATCATTATCATCCAAGGCTCCCAAAGAGGCTGCAGTTTTGTAAAACCAACCCCCTCACAACAATTACTGAGCTACCTCTCTCAAAAAGGATGTTAATGTGAGATTAGACTGACTCCATATTAACATCCATGCACTAGGAAGCATCTGGACGCCATCCTCCAGATTGCAGGCGTATAAGTTTTGCCAGCAATTTAAGCAGGTTAGTGGGAGGGATGGAATACTGCGAGGACAACAACTTGTTGTGTAGGGCACGGTGCGGCTTACGAGGTAGACGCTGTTGCCCGATGAACCCTACGCCAAAAGAAGACTAGCTTAAGTACAGGTACGACAAGCGACCCATAGACGTCGCCTCCATCGATTCCAGCACGACTCCACATAAGGATGGTAATGGAATGGGAAAGTTTTTGAATTAGGGGCGGTTCGCAAAACTTGATTAAATTCCCAGTAGGTACAAAACAGTGTCTCAATCAACTCATTTCTCTCACACGGAAAAGTGTTACGTAGAGGAGTACCAAATATCACATTACTCTTCCCCTTCTTGCTAACTTTGCATATCAGCCAAGCACTTGGGTAAGCCTAATATGACTCCCTGAATGAAAGATTTATCATCCGCGGAAGGACTTAACAGAGCATAACTTTTCTCCTCATCATGTTGTAGACATTAATGGGGTCTTATTTCAACAACAAAAGTCCCACAAAATGATTATGAACCCGGCGTGTCCTTCTTTTGACTCCCGATGGGGTAACAAAACTTCAAAGTGCAGAGTAGGAGAGTGGAGAAGCCCAGGAGGAACTTTATTGCCGGTTCTCCCACCTAGTTATTAACTACTTCGACCAAGTCTCAGAAAAAGAGGTGTATTTCCTTCAACTGACTAGTTGGAAAAGGGATTGGAAAACAACAGATGTTTGTTAGGAAAGGATTAACACAGGCTTGAGGGCTACTATCCCTTAGCACAGTGGTTAGGACTCTCGCTGACCATGCACATGGTCCGGGGTTCGATCCCCTGCCGACGCACACCCAATATCTATGGTTGGCCTGCAAAATTTGGGCTACCAATATCCATGCTGAAAATTCCATACTTGTACTGAAAATACGGTGTGGCATCAAGCTGTAATCAAAATAAATAAAAAAACAATAAATAAATAGCAGAGACTTCATCTGATTCTGTAAGGAATGTGCGATTCTGATAAAACTGTTTCACTGGACAGCCTAATAAGCACTAAGTAATTGGAATGTTCAAAACATGTTTCCTCCGTAAATTTTTAGATTAGAACAGACGTTATTGCATTTTCATTTGAAACTTAACTGAATGGTCAAACTTGGACATAAAATAATACAGCAAATTATGTGTAATATCTCAAGATCGACTATAAAATTTTCACAGATAATGGATTTTTCTGTGTTTTCAACAGTATTACTCTCCTAGAGCTGTCAAATAATTTCTGTTGCCCTAAAGAGGCTTTCAATAAATAAAAGAAGTATGTGGGTTGAAGGGCACTGTGTGCCAGGAAATCCATTCTTTCAAGGTCATCATTCCAAACACGATGGCTGGTGCTCCACATAGGAGTGGTCCGCTGAAACAGCAAAATAAAAAGCATAAAGGGACTAAAAAGCAAACTGATAAGTCTCTGAAACCTCAACGCGTGAAGAAAAGTATTAAGGTACTGTGTTATTTGTATCTATGCTAAGTGATGACGAAATACTGGTTGCAGTTACGTGCATTCTACACCAGCTTAATATCCTAAAATTTTGTCCCAGTACATTTACTGTTGAAAATGTTCATTTCAGGTGTAAGTGCAGAAACTTCAATGCCATCACGTAATTCTGTCAGTTGTGTTACAGGCTATACAAAATTAACTAGTATAGTTTACTACCACAAGATATAGCTGTTAAGGTTCGCAGATGTATGAAGTTTTATATGTCTTGTCAATGTTACTAAATTGAGGTGGAACTTGCAGTGAAGTAGCTAGATAACTAATGCTTAGGTTGTGGTTTATGATCAGCTGGATCTTTTTATACTCATTCAGAAAATGTAGCAACCACATAAGAGAAAGAAAACAGTGAGCAATTTAAATATGCTTATGGTGTCTGTTCAGAAGTATGGGTTATCCAACTGCAATTTATGTTGTGCTGCAAAACAGTGGAATCACTTGGTACTACGACTGATATCCATTCACTGATGCAAGCGTATCCAATATATATATATATATATATATATATATATATATATATATACATACATATATATATCATTGTTATAATCCGATAAGTAGATGGGGTCACGTGGTTGACTTGTTTGACATTTATATTTTGAGTTTTTACCATGCATTTTTTTCAGCCTTATATGATTCAATTTCTTTTAGGTGTTAAACAAAAGTCAACGTCGTTTGCTTTCCAAGCAGCTCCGCATACAGAAAAAAATAGAGGTTCGTTGTAAAGGATATATTTCTAATGTATTCTAGGTTAAAAAATTTGAGGCATCACGGGGAACCCGAGAAAATCCCATAGTTTGCGTTTTGATCCCTTTATCTCCCTTGGTACCTACACATTTAGCCCAAATTTTGTTTCAAACATGTGCGTCAAACAATGAGGTTTTGAAAGGACCCGAATCGTGTTTACAAAATGTAGTCACTTTTCACTCTCACGTTCTCAACAAATATTTCACATTCATATCTGCACGCAGTGATGATCTTTTTGGATGTCTAGATCTCGCTCAGTTTGCAGACTGGCTTATTCTCTTAGTTCCAAGTAATCCTTCGGAAATTCCGGACTCTGTTCATGAGTTACTGACTGCCATATATACACAAGGTTTTACAAATGCGTCGTACGCTGTGCTCTCATCAAGTTCAAATTTAAAGGAGTTAAAACAAATTTTAGAAGTAAGTTATTCTCATTATTTAACATGTCTTGCTATATTCATTTTTCTTGAAAATACACTCTTAAGTTATGTAGTCATTCAGTGTTGGAATCGTCAACTGTAAATTTTTGTGTGGGAATGAATAAACACGCATTTGTGCATTGAGTTACAGATCATATTAAGCTAGAATACAGGAAACAATGACTGGTTTTCGGCCGATAAATATCTTGAGAACTCGTTACCTGTGTAATCCAGATGTCACAAATTGACTAGTTTGAGTAGTTCTGTAAACGTTCTCAAAATAAATGTTGGTTTGACTGTATATTCACACTTTTTTTGCTAAGAAACAGGTTAGTGAATGTTCTGGTACAGAAATTTATCCTGGCATTCTTTTGTGTTAGAGCTTACTTCATCTCTGTTAAACCTCTTATCATTTGGATGCACTATATATTACGATTTCTAGTTGCATTGAAAAAAATAATTCAATGGAAACAAGATAAGTAACTGCATTGGATTTCTCATTATAGCATATTGATTCAAATTAGCACGCGACACTTCCATAAGAGTGGAAGTTGGGGAAAAGTAGACAAAAAGGAGGGAGTTATTATTGATGCTTATGAATAATCATGAAAAAGAACAGAGCAATATGGTATTATCAAGTAGAATAGATTAGGTACAAAAAAATGTGTCTGGAAGTGCTGGAACTTAAATGGTATCTTTCAAATGACAGCAGAACATAACTACTTGTTAATTCATTTGATTCGAAATTGAAACTTACATCAACCTAGGCTGAAAAAATACGTCATAGAACTTGAGTTGCATAACTAAAATGTCGCTTAAAATTTGAAAATAGCTGTTTCTTTATGATTTATTCTTGTAAAATCTAAAGTGATCTTTCATACGACTTACCGTTTATTGCACTAAAAGTGTAGATTTCCTGTCCCAGAATCTACTGTACACCAACTGAACTCAAGTTCCAATGCAATGAATCTTCTGCGTCATATTGCTTCGACTAGTCCATCAAGTTTACATGTTAAGACGAAGAACGCGAAAGTAGCTGGACAGTCTGCAGTAGCGCATACAGGAGCACGGTACAGATCACGCCTACTCGTTGACTCTCTTGAATTATCTTCCAAAATTGGTAAGCTTCTATTCATCTTCTATATATAACTTATTCTAATGAAATTCATTAGCTCAAGCATTCGACTTTCAGCCGATGGGTCACGGATTCGATTCCCACTGCACCTACTTCAGTATGAGCAGCTGCGTAGTAAAATCAGCCCTCACTATGTGTTTAGCTTATAGGCTGGTACACGAAAAATAAGTTTCCGACAGTTGAGCTTATATGAACAGTTAAACCCAGCGAAGTGTTTGAAAGTTGAAGTTAGGTGGTAACGGATGACTGATCTTGTGTATTATGTTTCTGTGTTAGACTTCAGGATGTATTTGCAAACTTTTTACGTGTTCTTTCTGTACATGAGGAGAATCTGTCATATCACTCTTTCGTCACTCATTACCCTTTACTCGTGAGTTACACTAAATTTTTCGCATACCGATAACTCATTTTCGGTACAGCAGGTTTTCGAATAGGTTTATATTCTGAGTGTATAGTTGACAGGCATTTCTGGATCTCCATAAATTTCGGAATTTGTCATTGAAACTTCACAGATCCATTTGTGTAAATATACGCTTTCATTGAAATATCCGTAAATATGTTACTCACTATGTATCACAAAATGTGCTACTCAACTGTTTGCAGTAAGATTAAGGTAGTCAACATAAAGACGTTTTATTAAAGAAATATAGTTGTCTTATTTTAACGAAGTGGTTTATCTGTATACGGACTCAATAACATGCTTCTCAATGCTTGTAATTCTACAATGGAACAACTTACTATCGCCGATATGTTGATGACACATTTGTTGTTTGCAACGACATGGATCACGCATTGGCATTATATGATCGCCTAAATGAGACCCATCCAAACATCAAATTCACCATGGAATATGAACATAATAATGAGTTCCATTTCCTGGATCAAAATATAGAAAGAACAAACGAAGGTACGATCGAAAAGTTCATCTATAGAAAAGAAACCTGGACTGGGCAATATCTTCACTAGGACAGCTTTTGTCCCATAAGCTATAAACGTGGATTAGTGAGGACTTTATACGACAGAGCAAGGAAGCTATGTTCACCGAACAAGGTCAAAGAAGAATTAGGTTACGTCGAGAAATGCCTAAAGGAAAATGGATACCCTAATGGATTTATACAAAAGTAGAGCAGAGAAAAAGATAAGGAAGAAAAACACCCAACTGTAGAAAAGAAGAAAGTGTTTATTTGTCTCCTATTCAGAAGAGATGCAGTGTCACAAAAGATATACAAAAAACTAAAAGGTGCAATAAAAAAAGCTTCCCGGCAGTTAAACTTATAACATTATACAGCACCACTTCTTCTATAAGCCACTCAAAACTGGATAAATACCCTGCTGATGTCATCTCCAACTGCGTTTATGAATTTACGTGCACTTGGGGTAGCAAGTAAATTGGAAGTACTGAAAGGAAGCAAATATTCTCAGAGTGCGATTACCAGACATATTGTTGATACTGGACATCTCGTAGAGATTTCTAAGTCCTTCAAAATATTAAATAGACAAAGGACAGCAAATTTACCACGATTTGCCGAAGCGATCGCAATCTAACGATTTAAACTAGACTTATGCATACAGAAAGAGAGTGTGATTAACCTGTCACTCCCTTGGTAACTGAATTTTGATTTTGATTACACTAACTAGTCATCTATTTCAATGATCTCAACTCAATGAACAAATCTTAATCTTATTAACCGTAACCGCTTTTGTTTTTTGAGTTGCTATGTGAACCTACAAGCTAACACGGTTTTGTTAATTATTTCTGTTTTCTGTCTTACCCGTCCCCCCTCTTTTCTACTTTGAAAGCGTATAAATTAATGATGAAAACTAAAAATTGTAATGCTTACATTTCGGATGCGTCAGTTTTATAGTATTTCTTCTCTGCTACCACTTAAACATTAAGCTATGTTGTTATCATCTATATAGCAATTGTAATTTCAGGTAGTCTACGGCTGATGAGGACCTGTGAAATAGAATGATATCATTTTATACTGCAAATTTCGTCTTCCTTTCTCTATCGAAATTTATCAAGGGAACCAAATGTATGAAATTCCGCATTTATTCAGGTGACCAGTCATTCAGACAATTTATAGACGAAAGATGTCCTATTTGGTTTACAACTGAGAGCTTTATTCTGTCTAACTGCACTTATGTTTTTGTAAACTGTGATAAGATGAACAGGTGCTATTTAGAATTGTATTACACCAGTGCTAAAATTAAATTTATGTAGTCTAAGCTATAGTTCACATTTATTTTATGTGAGTTAGTAGTATCACTTAGTTTATCGAAATTGCATATTATAATTAAAGTTAAAGTCAGTAAAATTTTTCTTCACAATTGCTATGAGGACTTAGCTAGTACTTTAAAAAACAGTAATTTTAAATTACTAAAGATTGTGAAAATATGACCCATTAAACTGATTGGCTACAAATATAGTTTCCGACTTTAAAGCAAATTAAAGACAATTCTGCAAATATTTTCTTTATCGACGAAATCGTCTTCAGAATCTGTAAAGTCGTAATAATATTTACTGAGATCGTACAGTAGTCTGTTATTGAGTAACAGGGGTGTGTGGATGACGATCACTCAGAAGTGTTTTCAAAAATAAAATTAAAAAAAACTGCATATTAGTCAACCGCTCAGTAGAATAAAGGGTTTGAAATTTGATCAGGTTAAATTTGTTATTGATTGAGAAGTAAGGCAGTTAATTGTCCACTTGGCAAGTGTGAGGAGAGTAAGGAAATGTACAAAGGGAACATATACGAGTGACAATAGTGCATTGGTTACTATAAATTCAAGTGGACGTTTAGGGAAAACATTAAGACCATTGTAAAATAAGAGACTCAACAGACGTTTTCTGCACACAGAGTTTCGGGTTGTATTGAAGAATCACCAGCACCTTCGCCATACACAAGTGTCGAAACCTAACACTCCTTGTACTATTCGGTCTCACCTCATAGATAATCTTAAAAGACGACTCTAGTAGGGCTGCGTAGCCTAAGTTCATCAGGCGCCTGATAGCTAATCTAGTATTTGTCTTAGATTGTCGTCTTGCTAACAATGTGGGATAATGTTCGGAGATATGTTTGGAAATTGTGTGCTTTGTGAGCTTAATATAAGTAGTTCTACAGTAGCGAGTGAATTTATAAACACACATTGGAGTGGCTCAAAGTGGTAGATTGTCTTTCACACATCATTTGATTATTTGTAGATTGTAGAAATTAATCTGTAACTCACTCTAAAGGAAAACTTTGCTTAGCGATTTGGATAGGCGGTTCTTCAGAATTTCACTCATAACATTCACAAACAGCAGTTTCTTTGGCACCCAATGTATTCTTTTGGGATTCTACTTTACTTTCATGTTTTTCTCGATCAATCTTGTAGGATATCGCATATTAATTGTTTATTAGACATATTACACAGTGAAAGAGTATTATCAATTGTAATTGATATGATTATGAACAAATTGTGCTTGAAACGTCATCCAGTAGATAATACTATTTCACTATGTGATATAACTAATGAACAAATAATATGGAATGACTTACTACCAGAGTGCGTAAGTTTCACACACGTATTAACTTGTAGGATATCCATTTTCAGTGAGAACTTCAGTTCATCATCGACTGTATAACTGGTGCATATCCTTCTTGTCCTTGAGGACTTGAAAATAAAGAGTAGATCGGACTTCTGTTTCTTTTCAGAGATACAACTATGAAGATTCTTATATTGACCATTTTAAGTTAGCTACCTGTAGATTGCTCTCCGAAGAGAACCTTCAGATCTCCTTTGCAACAAAACAACCAAAAGTGGAACTCAGACTTCATCTGTAATTCTGACGTGAACTAGACAGAATAGCAGCAACTGCTGAACTCATTTTTTACCACTTCAGTCTCATCATTCTTGTCACGTGATGAAAGTATCACCCACTTATCTTTGGTACATTTGGAAACTTTCAATAATTTCGTAACATACTATTCGCCATTGAGTCCTTTACCTACAGACTGCTTCATATCATGTGTGATTAGCCCTCACACCAAGGATATAACTCACCACCAAGTGCATCTAAATATACAGAATGTTGGTAAAGCCTTGTGAAACAGTGTTCAGTAGACAGACTGAATAGTGTTAATTATTATCCCTGTTATTATTAAATCCATTATTATTCCGTTTATTTGAATCGGTCTTTAATTTTTTATGTTTAATAGAAATTGTTCGAAATGTATTGTGCAAATGCATTACATTTTTCAATATAAACTCCGTTTTCTAGTGATATTGTCCACATTTATTAAATAAAACTGATGTTTTTAAATTAATGTCTAGTAACTGAACGTCAAATGGAAACTTAGTTCACTGCTGCTGCTGCTGCTGGATTCAACATAGAACTTGGCATCGAAGTGCAGCAGTTCGAGTTGCCACGTTCCAAATAGCACACAAAGGTAGACAGGAAAAGGAGAGAAGAGAATCAATAGAATTTAGATAAGTATAAGATTGAAACAGAATTGAAACAGAGTTCACTACAGGTTTCCAGTTGGTGGCCTCCAAGTCTTTTCTCACATCAATTTTTTATGGTGTCAGCTTCATGTACTGGTTACTTACATCAAATAATTTCTCATAGTTGTTAACAATAAATTTATATTCATTAATTTAAAATTTAGAAAAAGGCGATGATAGTGCTGAGTCTGATGTGACTTTATGTCTGCGTGGTCGCCTTCTTGGAGCACCATTGTTTTTGTTTGAAGAATTGGACCAGTGTGGTACTGTTCCTGTCGGCCCCAGTGTACACTTAACTGGTTGGGGTGATTTTCCTCTGGCAGAGGCCAGATGGGTTCATCCTAACGGGTTAAAAGGAAACTGGAAAATTGCGGACTTGGAAAATTCTGAAGACTTTAAAACGAGAGATAAATCTGTGAATTCAACAATGAATATGATTAGTTGTAAGTTAAAATCTTTTTATCCATTCAGTCAACCAATAATTAAGAATTACGTACTTTACTTCATATCTTTTGTGTACAAAAAGAGAAGTGTATCTCATTATCCAAAAAAAGTATACACTTGCCGTACCAGAAGTTCTGTTTTGATCGATAGTCACCACCGCAGTAAATTCGGCTAATAATTATCAATCAAAAAATAAAATATTCATTTAGCTGGCGCAACACTGAGTTGGTTCAACTAGGCGTCAAAAACATTGTCAACGTACCAAAGTATGTGTACACAAGTTGTTTTTTTGCAGACATTTATTTGTGTAAAGATGTAGCTCACTGATCTAGACATTCGACTTTTTATCAGTTGGTCATGGATTTGAACCGTGTTCGGACAACTAACCAGTACCACCAGATCTCACAATAAATGTGGCCTATTCTAAAGTACCTGAATATGAATGTTGTTGAGGTTATCTAATCCACAATTATTGATCCATAAGATGGTATGAAATTGATTAAGTACAGTAGATAAATGTACACTCAGAGTGCTAATGATGGTACACGACTGCCCATTTCGAAGCGTAAGAATGAGGTTTACGCCTGTTCTACCTTTTGGCTTGTGATAATCAGTTACTGAGATCCTAGATTTGCACCTCGATTGTGGTATCAGTATGAAAAATTATTATGAACAAGATGTTCACGTATTCGTCTTTTGTCTATAATGCCATCCGATTTTTATGACTCCATTTTGTCAAGTGTAGATAGTGAAACTTCATATTTCTGTAATTCTGAGCTGATATCCGAATCTGTATGCGTTTTCATAATTGCCTTCTTCTGCATTTCATATTATTAGACTAATACTTCTGGAGTTTTGAGAGACATCTAGTTATTATGTGCATTAAAAAGTCCTTTGCACGACTATCAGTATCATGAAAGAATCAGATTTTAGCGTATAAAATCTATCCTGACTAGTTGTTTAATATAATAGGCTTCAAGTTCACTTTTAGTTTTGTCTAAGAGGACTAGAATTTTCACTTTCCTAGCTGCCTTTGCCCATTGAACTTTGAGTGTTTGGCCTTAAAGGGAATGCCTTCAGATTATATCGCAATAATCAAGGCACTCTATTCGAACTCATGCAGCCGTATAAAAGCTTATGCATAGATGTCATCTGATGTAATAACAACCAGTACTGTCCATCGTCAGTGCCCACTCTCCCATTTTTTAAAAATTTCGTCATGGATGTGCTGATGAAATTGGACCTAACCGACTTTAGCGACTCAGGGATTGACTTGTTACCAGGGAACAGTCCTATCAATTTAGAGTATACGGATGATATTGTCTTCATAGATGAAGGTGCTGATAAGATGCAGAGTATTCTGAACACTGAGTAGAAATATGCACATTTTCGGCATGTGATTGGCCCCTGTCAAATGCAGGATAATGTTACAGGACTGGACTACACTGACTCCTGGATTAAAGATAGGGTGTGAGGTGGTTGAGTGTGTTGACCACTTTACTTATTTAGGAAGTTGCGTCATCCCCAACGAACTTATTTCTTTCTAAATCTCACGACGGATGCAAAAGGCTCTTGCGGTATTCGCCAACTAACGTCATCTCTGGAGTATACTTGATATCCGACTATTGATCAAAAGATCTGTGAGACATGACTATTGAATTTGAAGATGCGAAAAGTTTAGCTATCTTTGACTACAAATGTTGGCGTTCTACCTCCCATGTAAAGTGGTATAATATGGTAACATTGAGGTTAGTTGTAGACTATTGCGTAAGGAAAGTGAGTAGATTGATGAGGTTGTCAAGCTTCATCGATTGAGATGGCAAGACGCGTGTTGCGCATGCGAAGTCATGGCTTTCTTTGATGAGCAATGCTAGGTGACAAATAAAAACCTAGAATCAACCCATGAATTGTTTGATAGTTGATTTGAGTCGGCCACGTTAGAAGATGCAGAATGCCTGGCCAAAATCCTTGGGGGTATCTTATACCAATGGTTGGAGACTGTTGGCGATATAGTTCAAAACGGTTCGCAATGGTGCAGATGTATTCACCCTTTGTGATCTCCCATATCTATTAAACCCTTATTTTTCTCCGTGTTACTATTCTTTGTCCTGAACATGTTTGCTCACTATAGTTCTTTTGGATATCTTTTTTTTGACTTTTTTCCTTGCCTTTATGTGCTACATGAAGTGTGACAACTTAAACTGCAGTTATTCTGTGCAGAGTTCTTTGTTGAAACTCATTCACTCAGTTATTGAATTTTGAGTGAACTTTCACTTTATTTATTGATTTGTCGATAATTTAAGCATATTATTTTGAACAATCACTAAATATTCATATATCACATCCGCCCGTTTTAGCTGAAGAAGATTCCGAGGAAGATTCCGTGTCGGATGAAATGTCTGTGGATGACTCACAACAGTGTGTTGATGAAGACGAATCGGACGTAATGGAAAGTGAACCTGATCAATTGCAATTGGAGATGTCTGATAACTCTGATATGGAATGTGCATCGATAGCTAGTCATACCGCCCACACAATGGCAGCAAGCGCTACTTCTGCATTTTCTTCGGCTCAGTTAGCCAAATTTCGGGCTGCTAGAATGGAAGAAATGTTTCCAGATGAGGTATATGGTTTTTAAAAACTGTTCAGTTCATGTACTAAATGTATCACAAAACTAAAGTGTGGTTGTGTTGCATGTTCTCTTTCATCAATATTCAGTTTAGTTAAGGGTTCCCAGAAGACTCACTTTACAATTAAAAAAAACTAAAAATCAATATATGCAACTTATCGCTTTAGTTATCGGCTTAGAGAGCTTCAGAACAACTGTCATCTAGGTGAATTGGTTGCATCGTAGGCATTACACGGACTACATTTTCGATGAGTTTATTCAGTTCCAGGGAATAGTAATGTACTGTTTATGGCTTACTTATGAAGTTCATATTTGTTCTTGAGGAGACAGTCTTTGTAGTTGTCTGTTTATCAAGTTGTTTGATTTTGCCGAAATTCGAAATTTCCGATTGTACTTCCCCAGCTGCCTAATTAATATATTACCGAATAAAATAACTAGTGTGCAGTATTTTTCATTATCATTGCATGTGTAGAGGGGTGAGCAGCCTCTAGTTAGTGTTACTCCACCGTATTAAGTGTTGCTATTCACATTCCTATCCATTGATCTGCTCCTACTGTATTTTGAAATGTTTTAGTAGATGACTGGCGTATGGTGTTCCATTATACTTTCGAGAGGTTTCCGAAATGTAATTTGCCTTTTCCCTAATTTTTTGCAGGTTGAAACCCCTCCTCATATACCAGCTAGCGAGCGCTTTGCGAAGTATCGTGGTCTTTTGCGTTTTCAAGGCAGTGTGTGGCCAACTGAGGAGGACATTTTGCCGAAGCATTATCAAAATATTGCCTGGTACGTATTCAGTTTATGTCGCTTATTAATTATTATTGGAGGTTTTATACGTATTCTTAAATTAATAAACTGTATATAGTATACTGGTTTCTATTCACTATTTCGCTATTCAGCGAAGAGTTCAAGCCAGATAGTACTGTCGCAGATGCCTTGTTAATTATTTGCTGTCATTAAAATTGGCAGCACACAACTTGTGAGACTGATTTGTCTTCAAAAAATGATACTGAGCTTCAGCATGAGTTGTAGACAGCAACTCTGGGTTACAACAAATACCGTTAGACACAAGTACAGAGATAATTCTTTGTGACGTTTCTACGGATTCTCCTCGTCGTGTTTGGTCTAAAAGTTATTTACGTAACGTTTTCAATACATTACACGTTTTTTTAACCCAGGCATCCAAGTTACCCTCAAGCTTATGGTTAGTCGGTTATGCTGATTTGATGTATATATTATATATGTAAGGCATTGGACTCGTATGTATATAGCTCACCAAAGTGCAAGCAAACAAGAAACCCTCTTAGTTTTATTTTTCTTCCGGTGCCCTCTTCAGTCAAACCTACACAGATCTAGTTGGACCTCTTCCAGAATATTATAGATATACCTACATTTTAACTGTTATATTAGGTGGCCGAAGTTATACTCCTCAAAAACATCGGCTGGAACAATCGCACGTGTAGAGAAGATTTGTAGTTCAGGTGGATGATTTGCAATTAATAGTGTTCTCTGAGCTGGTTGGTTTTCGTCAAAAGATAGATTGGGAATTTCGAATTACCATTTTCCACGACAACCAATCTTGGGTGGCAATCCAAAAGCAGTTTGTTTTTATCCTTAACTGAAATCATAGGTTGCACGCGTTTCAGAACAACAGTCTGCCACCCTCAGGCAAACGGTAGGGTAGGACGCCACTGACATTTAAAGACTGGACTATCAGCCGTATAAACTGCACAGTGCCTGAGTCGCTACCCTTAGTCCTTCCTGGGATGGATGAAATGGGTTGAAGGCTGAATCTGGGTGTTCTACTACAGAGATAGTATTTAGAACAACACAACAACTACTAGGTGACTAAGTAAATATTCCTTTATGACACGAGCTACTGCATTAAACGTTATCATTGGTCGCGTTGTTATTCTTTGCATTTACATCCTTGTTCGTAGTTTCGATAATGATGGCCACAACTTCTCTGGGGCAGAATAGTAGTCGTACATACGATCAAATGAGCCGATAGAAGACTGAAGACCAATAATCTTAACTCATTCATTCGTTGTAGTTTGCTTAATTTGTGTTTGTCTCTAGAATATCGACAAAACAATAAGAAGGCGTAATTTATCTGGAACGTGTAATGTATTTGTGCAACACATTTCGGACATTCTGATGACACATATACTTGCCATACACATATTTATGTACAAGGCAACAAAGCATAAGTGATTGGAATATAGGTCAATTTGTGTACAGGTCAAGGTCACAAATAAAGGGGAGGAAGATGAGATAAGAAAAAGGAAAGGAAGAGGGTGAAAACATTATTGAAGTAAATTGGACCGTGGTTCTAAATTGGATAACTAAGGCGCATTCTGTCATTGGTTATCATGTCAACTTTCTTACAAAATCACCGTGCTCAAAGTCTGATGGTGGGAAAAATTCGTATGTCTGAACTGGACACTGGACTTTATATTTTACACATTTTGAGAGATAAAGTAAACTTATAGACTGATAGTTCATCAAATTATCTATCTTGTATTCGAATAATTGTAATTGAAATATATTGTGCTTATTGTAATATGTAAACAACAGTTGGCCAAGTTGAAAACCGAGGGGAGTGAACACACCAATAACCTTGAAACGCACGAGTAGAGCAAGTCAGTGAAAGATAAAGGTAAAAGCCCAAATCTACCTCTTAAGATTGATTGCGCCTTCCAAGGTCTTCAGCGCGTCCGTTCCCCTTGGGTAGATTTTTCTTAAATTTATTCAACAATTCAACCTGTTTACATTATTTCCTAATCCATCTTCTGTGATTGTTCAGTATAAAAATTATTAAATGTTGTGTGGAAAATATTTATCCGTTGTTTCTTCATTTTCATTGTAAAGCTTTAGAAATTATCATCGTAATAGGCGTACTATGATTCGCTATATTGAACAGAAATTGGCAGATCTTCAATCAGCACACAAAGCTGGACAGAATCTTCACAAATATATACCATCTGGTGTAGATGTAGAGCTTATATTACAACTTGCCTCACATGATCTTGGCGAGAAGATATTAGCTCATCACACTCTACGTCAAAGCAGTGATACCGTCAAACCATCTGACCTCAGACCTCATCCACTTGTTGTTTGGTCGCTGTTGCCTCATGAAACAAGAATGTCTGTTTGTCATTTTACAATGAGTCGTCTCTCTTCTGCCCTTCGTGCAGTATCAGATTTGATGGTAATAGCAAATGTAGCAAATAAAATTAGTGAATCATCACTTAAAGAAAGTGATGACTCTTATCCAATAGAATTCGGTGAAGAAGCTTCTACGAAAATTGAACGTGAAGATAAAGAAATACACGACGCTCTCATTGATCATCGTAGTAAAATTTCTAGGAAGGAAACAGATAAGACAGTTTATGATCCGAAAACTCCTATACCTCCAGAAGCTGAACCGATTAAATCGAAGGATCTAATGCTTATTCAGGTAGGAATCATTCAGATCCATGGAATTCGTAATTTATGTTCATTCATAAGTTTGAACAAAACAAGAACGATAAATGTTCCAGGATAATATGATCTCATCCATTATTTTGGAGGATTCTTCTCAACTGGCGATGACAAGGAGTAATTGATAGGAATTAAAAACAACATAAGTCCAGAATGATGTAAGATGTTGTTAGTGTTTACTTAGGTTACTCTTAGTTCCTACCAGTTACTCCTGGTCATTACAGAAAAAGTTGTAACCAGTTGAGAAGAATTCTAAAAGATGAGCTCATATTATCCTGACACATCTGTCGATCTTGCTTTGTTCAAGTTAGTCAATGAGAAAAATTGGATGAAGCTATTCATAGTTGCTTGATTTTGTAGTTTTTGACAACACTTGAATTAGATCATCAGATTTACCAGTATTTTTGTTCTACTTTATTAGCCTTATATATTCTGCTTGTTTTATTGTCATTTTAACTTGAACACCTTTTTAATGCTCTGTTCTCTGTTAGATCCACTAACTAATTTACTAGCTTTAGTTACTTTACAGAACTTAGACATATTGGTCTTAAACTAGACTGATAAGGAAGGGTATCATCGAAATTTTGGAACTTTACAGAAGTTCTGTATTTGCTCGTCTGTAAAGTTTGTCACAGTGAAGTTTTACTGCTTACTGAACAATATTTTTAGTGTGAATTACTGTCCCTATTTGGTTATCAAAAGTAAACTTGATAGCTGCTACCTTCATTTTGGTAGTAGGGCTTGAGTATCCTAATGAACACACTGGCAGGAACGAATGCGCCTGCAGTTTCCACCATGCTGCCAAGGTCATTTCGATAAGTCTGATAAAATGCTACCGAAAATAGGTATCTGCCTAAATTGTGTTCTGTAATTTTGATATCAACAAAAGATTACTGAGAAAATAGTGAATGAAACTGTCAATAAAGTATACATGTACAGTATTTTAACCATTTGGAATCACGTCATTAAGTTTATCGAATCAGTTTTTCGGCTCATCTTGAGGATCTCAGCTAATCAATATTCATGGCTCAGACAAACGCCAAGAAACCTCATTAAATGATACTACGTTTTAGTTTGGCTAGCTGAGGCCTTATCTTAAATGAATCCCTCTCGAAATAACATTGCATATACATACCGGCATTAGTTAGCTTGGGTAACACATTCACCAGTTTCACACAATCGATATTTTTTACTCTCAAATATTGTGTACATTGATCTCATAGCCTCATGACACGGTTTGCAATTATTACTTGGAAAATAAGCATGTGTAATATGTTTGTCCAAATACCAGTTGCATATATTCTACTTCACAAATCAATGTCTATGTCGTTGTAACATAATTGGATCTGTAATATATCTTACTATTTATGGGAAAATAGCACTATTCATAATTTTTAGAATTCTTTGTTTTCAGGCTGGCATTCGACGTTTTGTAGCCGCTCCAATTTATTCCACAACAAGCAATCCACGCGAAAAGAGTAAATATGAGTCTTTCTTTCCTGCTACACAAAATTCTACTACAGCAAGTGTTTACGCGCCAGTAATGTATTCTCCTGTCAATGTGTTACAGTTTAGAATCAGAGTGACTGAGGTAAGGGAATTTTGTTTACAAATGCGGTTAATAAAATAATTTCTTCCTGGTGAGCTTCAACTATGAATTAAGAGAAAAGACAATTTTAGGAAATGTAACTCAACGTTATTTATTCTTCTTACTTGTTGGGTGTTGTGCAGTGGAAGTTCCTGTGCTTTGTTATATCCTTTGAGAGCCAATACAGTTAGGCTCATGTTAGCGCCCGGACAAAAGTTTAGTCCTGTGCTTTCAACTTGCAAAGTTTAATATAACTCAAGCGTGAACATTGGAAGAAAATTATGTTTTTATTATCGCAGTAGTGGAAATTTTACTCTTAAACGCTGCTGCTTAAATGAAGGCATACTTATCACCCAACAAACTGATTTTTGAAACACATGCAAACCGGACAACTTTGGAAACACTCCCCCTGTCTTTAACTTTATTTCGAATAGACAGCTGCACATGCTTCCTTCTCTGGCTTATTATTCGATTCATATGCTTCTTTCGATGGTAAAAGTTAACTACCTATGCATAGAGCTGAAATTATTCATAAGGGAGTTTCTCAGTATAATAATGGGCTTATTTTCCATCCGTATCTGCAATCTCAGTTCAAGATGTTGATTGGGAGAAATCAAATGCAATAAACTTACAATCTGCTCATGCATTTTCGTGTGTTTCTGCTTTGCCGGTAGTATTAGTTTGTCGAGAGCACAACTCGACTAAAACGCTCATTAGGTAAACAGAAACTCGATTTTTTCTGACACATCTTTTGAGTGATTATCTAGGCGCATTTATCTAAATAGTATTTTTCTACTTTATAGGATGAAGATGGAGAACTGTCACCTCCGTATGTTGGAGAGTTAGTAGCAACTGGATCATTGAAATCCGCCGATCCAAATCACTTAGTCATTAAACGGATTCTTCTGTCAGGTCATCCGTATAAAATTAAACAACGTCATGTTGTTGTCAGATACATGTTTCACAACCCTATGGATGTTCTTCATTTCCAGGTAATTCTCTAATGCATTTTATATAGTAATTCCCAATTTGGAAAACTGTAAACAGCACTAACTAAAGCTGACGCAATTGGCAACTTTAAAGACAGTTTTTTTGTTCCCGTCCGTTCCCAGTGGAACATAGGGCTTCAAGCTAGGGGCTTGAAGTTTCTGCAGCAGTGGTGTTGATTTTTATTGGATGAGGTTGCTAACTTCATGCCCAACCTTCCCTCTTCACCAGTCTTGTTGCTGGCTTAGCGAGGTAAAGGAGTGCGTCGGCCGGGGATCGAACCCCGGACCACATGCGTGATTGGCGAGCATTCTACCGCTTTGCCACCGACGCAAAGACATTGGACTTCTTAAATTATAGCACGATGAAGTTGTTCATAGCCTATGTATGCAAACAAACATTCGTCTGCATGAGGTTTGTTTCGCAACGCAACACTAAACGACAAACAAGTTCTATGCACATTTTAATAATAGTGACACTTTCAAACACCTACTCGTGTAGACAGTCAAAGTTTCAATTATTCCGCATGTCTTAGTCAAGCTGTTTTACATCATTTTTGGCTTAGGAAAGGTTTAGAATCCTATAATTCCTTATTCAATTCACTGCTTCATAACAGGATTAAATACAGACAGTTTATGTAGTTTAGAATTTGCGACTTTTCCTTTTGGTCTTAAAAAATAACCTGTGTGCAAATTCTCACATAGCCTGTACAACTGCAAACAAAGCACGGGGCCGTGGGACATATTAAAGAACCTGTTGGGACTCATGGTTACATGAAATGTATCTTCGATCGTCCAATCATGGCTCATGATGTTGTTTTAATGCCGTTATATAAACGAGTTTATCCGAAGTACGTCTACGAGCCAATGGTGACCAAATACCTGAGTGATATTGAAAGCAAGAACGAGGTGGGAAAAACAGCAGAAGACTTCCTCTGGCACACCAGTTCAGATACAATTCAACTGAAGAAAAAAACTTGCACCCATATCTGCTCAGGATGAAAACAACCTATTTGCATAAGCAAATCTGTATTCATCACAGCCAACTTATGTACGCTTTTCCTAATTTTATTGTGAATTTTTAAGGTTTCAATAAATCCCCTTCCAACATTCTTGGATAAAAACTGCATTCTCTATTTATCTCAGTCAAGTTTGTATGCGAATGTCAACTAGGAAACGAACAATTAAAAAAAAAGGATTTACAGTGGTTTAAGTTTTATTTGACTTTTTTTGGTACGCTACTAAGGAGTACACAGTAGTTACTTCCCACTCAGATTTGGAAAGCGTTCCAAACCAAGAAGTCCTCTGATTTCGGTCATTCTGATGCTCTATCAGATGAGAATATTCACTACGGTCTGTAAATTTATCATGAGGATCGCAGTATCTTGACTCTAAGGCTTCCATTTTCACAAGTAATTCTGTGGGTTCTTGCACACTTGAGCGAGAAGTTAATGCAGTGTAAAAATGTTTGGCAAATGAGATACATTTCTGTGAAGGTATCAAGTTATAGTCAGCGGCTAGTTTGTCTAAGAGGGGTGGGTACACTAAGTATTCAGGACAGTCCACAACCCCATCTAGGTGGAAGCTGTACTTGGCTCCAAATAAAGGGAATGTTAATTGAACAGTGCTTCCTTTTTCGTTTTCTAAACGTTTTGCTGAGAATGAAGTAGCTGGGAATGTGACCGAATATACAGAATTACCAAAAGTAATTTCTTTCACGTCAGATTTTGAGCTGGACTTTTGTGCGTGATCATTCATTGCTGCGTTGGCTCTGCGTACAAGTTCATAAGCGTTTGGAATTGATGCAATGAAGTAACCGTTTTCTTGCAAGAGAGAACTGATATTCGATAAAATCCTACGTGCCTGTAGAGGATGAAGAGAAACAAAACTCTAAAGTAATAATTTGGATAAATTAAACAATTGCTGAATAAAATACGATTTGTAAACATCCTTATACCCACTACACTTCTGAAGCTCCTATTTCCTTAAAGTTTAAATAGTAGTTCATTATACACAGTAGGAGCTAGTTTGTTACGAGACATCAAATACAGTTATTTGTTACTTATCTGAACATATACTTAGTACAATATGTATGGTGAGGTGCGCTGCACAGAAACAATAAAACAATACATATATAAAAGAAATAGAATGACGAAGGAATAGGCATGCATACTTTTCAAGAGAATTCACGGAGCGTCCATCACTTCATGATACTTTCAGAAAGAAAAGAAGGGAGGAATTTGCAGCATGCTCTCCACTGATCACGATTTTCAGCTGCATATGAAAACATCTGGTACAGGTACTTGTGACAGATATTTCTCAGCTGTGTACAAGTTAGGTGTTGATACATACCATCTAGAGCTTCTTGAAAAAGGGTCTATCAATTTAGTTACTATGATGCGCAACCAACAATCCATCTTCTTTAGGAAACTGCTAATCTTAGCGTTGTTTAGCTCTTAACAGAAGTGAAATCTCTACAGCTTACATGGGGCGGTATGACTTTGATTTAGCTGTGTTCTTTGAGCTGGTTGGTTTAATTACAATTAAATCAAATCTCCATTATCTTGGTATGGCTTAGTAGTAAACTTGTTCGGATCCAAATTACCTATTTAATAAGTGGATCTGACGATCAACTGAGGACAGTGGGTGTGAGTCGAGGAGGTAGTCTGATCACAAATGATGTCGACTGGTCTATTAATTCGAACATGTTAGAATAGCGGTTATAGATGAAAGATTGATAAAGAAACCAGCAACTAATATTCCGAATAGAGAAGCTCATCAACTATGATGAGGAATTAAAGATTAAATTACCTGACGTAAAGGTCAGATTATAGGGATCAATACTATAATCCACTTTGTAAGAAACAATTAGTCCACTGATGGTCGCACATAAATCGATATGGTTAGGTTAGGAAAGCCTCTCATCACCAAACAACTGTGTGAAGGTTTAGTCAGATATAGTTAACCATTATAAACCTGGATAATACCAAACTTGAAAGATGATGAGAAAGAGTAGACAAACAATTGTGACTAGCAAATAAGAGTAAGTTAGTCCAACTTTACTCTTTCGCTCCAGTCGCCTAGGCTGTTTAAGTCATGTTGGATCTCACTTTCAACGTTCATGTCATCGTACTCATAATAATATACTATCTTGAGATCATATGCTAAGGGGTATGGCTTACCTTACTTGATCAGAGAGACTACGTCATCTATCAATTAGAGGAATAGAATAGGGCCAAAAACACTACCTTGTATTACACCACTAGTTATCGGCTTTGATGAAGACAGCTCGTGGTTGGTTTTGACTAATTGTTCCCTTTCTGTGAGAAAAGATTTCAGGAGCTTTCCAGTCATTCCGTAGGATTCGAGTGTTGCTAAAAATCCGATATGTGGGACTTTATCGAAGGCTTTGCTAACGTTGAGAAATAAGCTTGTTGCTGAATGCTCATTATCTATGCATTGTGTGCTGTAGTCAAAATAATCTAAGTGGCAAGTAATGCACGACCTTCCACTTAGGAAACTGTACTGGGATTGGGACAGTAGGTCGTTAGACAGCAATTAACGAATGATCTGCGTGTTTACTATTTTTCCCATTACATGTGAAACTACAGACGTGATGTTGATAGGGCGGTAGTTGTTGATATCAGCTATAGTCCCGTATTTATGGATAGGTACAATACAAGACTTCTTCCAGCAGGTAGGGTATGTCCCGTCACTTAGTGAAATTGCGTGTAACTTGAGTAGGAGTAAGTGCATGGCATTACCACCGTTTTTCAGCAGAATGGAAGATATACTGTCCGGACCACTAGCGTTACTAAGCTTAAGGCTAGCGACAGCTTTATAGATCTCTCGTGTGGTGAAAAGTATGTCACTTAAAAATTCGTCTGTTTTACGTGAGAAATCCACAGTCTCATCATACTCTAATGTGTATAATCTGGCGAAGTGCTTGCTAAACACTTCCCATATCACCCCGGTATTCTCGTAAGCAATGTTTTCCAAGTGTATATTATTTTTGGACAGGCTGTTTTGTAGTTTGTTAACCTAGTTTGGAAAAGTTTCGGTATTTCTCCTGGGCTATGCGGTGACTGAATGGCTCACATTTCTTTGTTTCTGAAGCTTATACTTCTCAACTCTTGAATTCTAGTGAGAAGAGACATGATAGCAATTAATGATGATAAGTCATGATATCTGTAGTATTTTATTGAGTGCTTCCGTAGACTTCTCCTTAACGATGTCGGAATATAATCGCTTTTGGGGAATCTGAAGCTAAGAATCTTCCCAGGTGCACTGACGTGATAAATTGACTTATTATTGTGATAAAAATAGTTAGGAATTGCCTCTAAGGACTCGTTCCAATAGTACGCTTCCTAATTAGAGCATCTATATAGGTGCTGATACAAGTCCCGGTCAGTATGTGTGTACAATCTTATAGGTGTCTGGTCAGCTTCATCTATGCTTTTTGTTTCAGGAAAGATGTTGAAAGAGCAAACTACTGTTTTATGGTCACTAACTGGAAATTCATGTCCCACATGCACTGTAGATGGTGTTATGTTGTTCGTGAAAATAAGGTCTAGGATATTTGCGGATCTAGTGTGTGAATCTATGTGTTGTGTCCACCCTCCTGTGACGATGGAATTCAGGAGATTGTAATACTTTTGGGGTCCTCGGAGTGAAGGCCATGGTACTTCTGGCATGTTGAATTTGCCTCCAATGATTTTATGACTGAAGGGACGAGTGGCTCTAACATTAAAAATGTTGCTGAGCATATTATCATATTCCCTGCTGGATGAAGATAGTCTTTACACACAACTCAAAAGTATAGGTTTACTTCTGACAACTTTTATTTTGACCTAGATCGAGTCATTGAGTTGTGACAGAATTGGGTTACTGAACTGGGTTTCACACCTGGATTGTTCACAGTGAATTAGTGTTCCACCCCAAGACCTGTCTGTCCCCTCGAAATAGGTCGGTGTTATCAATTCTTAGGCTATCATTGGAGATTTCACTTGTGCACCAGGCTTCGGTGATCATAATCAATGACGGTCTGAATATAGAAGCTAATGTACTTAATGTTATGCATTTGATCAGAACTTATCTAGCATCTATTACGATAATAGGTAAACGCTGACTACGTGGTTTCAGTGAGAGGATAACATCTTGATAAAATGTTCTGTGAGTATCCTCTGTATATACGTTTTTAGACTCACTAACCATTATCTTTGAAATGTTCTGGTAAGCTGACGTTTCGTCCAGGGAACCTTTATTTGTGATCTCGATAGAAGGTTCGGTGGCTTTCGCCGAGCTCTTGGTTTCTTCGAGGACCAACGGATATTCGGTTGCTTGTGTATTATTGGCTATGCTCAGTTCCAGGCTCATTGGATTGGCTTCTAATTAGGTCGGTTTCTGACGGTGGGTACATCGATGGTCTTCGCGGTCTATTATGTCTAGGAAAAATTTTCTCAATATCCCAAGCTTACAATAATGCTGAATTAAATCTCAGTAATTCTGAAATAATTCTTGCATCCTATAGTGAGTAAATTCTGAATCTGTTCTGAAATGGTTTGTTTAATGGCACAGACTAGAACTCAGTGCTGGTTTTCAGCATGACTAGAACGAATTCAGCACCGTGTTCTTTTTCTAGGCATTTTCAGGAGTAGATCAGAACATACTGGGTTTCCTTATCAGCGTTGTTCCAGCCATTACAGGACATATTAAGCTCTGACTAGCATTACTTCAGAACGAAAAGACCTAATTCAGCACATAGTGGCAATTTTTTCAGCTTAATTCTAGCCTTCTCAGCACATATTCAGAACTGACTAGCATTACTTCAGAACGAAAAGACCTAATTCAGCACATAGTGGCAATTTTTTCAGCTTAATTCTAGACTTCTCAGCACATATTCAGCACATATTTAGGCATGCGGAGCTTATTTTCAGCATTGAAGGCATTATTTCAGATGCTGATCTTTTTTTTAAGATTTTGTCGCATTAATTCAGCACCCAGCTCTCTTTTTAAGCACGATCAGCGTTATTTAAGAACATATATGTTTTTCTACCCACTATAGTGGGTAGAAAAAATTTTCATTTACCATAGAAAGGCATTATCGACGCATAGGTTAGAATAAGTTTAGAATTGTTGTAAGCTTGGGATGTTCGTTGAACTTATATGGTCCAGGGTGTGGGGTTTCATAGGGCGACGCACAGAGTCACGACGAACAAATACATGTGATGGAGTTTTCAAACACTGATGAACAAGGACATCTATCGACTGTAGTAACAGGGTAGCAGGATTAACTTAACGCATTACCTTTGTAAGCCTGCTGACGGAGGAGGCGTGATCTAATGCTGGTGGGAAGCTAGAGGGAGAAACAAACTCACCTGGCAGTCATAGTTTTGTGCCATATACTGGCTTGTCAGCAGTACAACCAGAATCAGTTTTCAAGACATTTCGTGTGCCTTAGGGAACCAACCCCAAGCTTACAACAATTCTAAACTTATTCTAACCTATGCGTCGATAATGCCTTTCTATGGTAAATGAAAATTTTTTCTACCCACTATGTTCTTAAATAACGCTGATCGTGCTTAAAAAGAGAGCTGGGTGCTGAATTAATGCGACAAAATCTTAAAAAAAAGATCAGCATCTGAAATAATGCCTTCAATGCTGAAAATAAGCTCCGCATGCCTAAATATGTGCTGAATATGTGCTGAGAAGGCTAGAATTAAGCTGAAAAAATTGCCACTATGTGCTGAATTAGGTCTTTTCGTTCTGAAGTAATGCTAGTCAGTTCTGAATATGTGCTGAGAAGGCTAGAATTAAGCTGAAAAAATTGCCACTATGTGCTGAATTAGGTCTTTTCGTTCTGAAGTAATGCTAGTCAGAGCTTAATATGTCCTGTAATGGCTGGAACAACGCTGATAAGGAAACCCAGTATGTTCTGATCTACTCCTGAAAATGCCTAGAAAAAGAACACGGTGCTGAATTCGTTCTAGTCATGCTGAAAACCAGCACTGAGTTCTAGTCTGTGCCATTAAACAAACCATTTCAGAACAGATTCAGAATTTACTCACTATAGGATGCAAGAATTATTTCAGAATTACTGAGATTTAATTCAGCATTATTGTAAGCTTGGGTCGATCATACCCATAGCTTGAGGATGGTAGACCGTTTATCTAAAAAGTATACAACCTAGGTATTTGTCAAGGCAATGAATAAGCCACTTTCGAAATGCCGCCTGCCATCAGTTGTTATGGAGAATGGACATTCAAAGTTTGCGATTCATCGTTTGACAAAGACGCGTACGACTGTTTCAACAGAATCATCCTTGAGGGGTACTGCTTCAGGCCATCGTGTGAAAGAGTCGATGCAGGTTAACATATAAGTATATCCCAAGCTTACAACAATTCTAAACTTATTCTGACCTATGCGTCGATAGTGCCTTTTTATGGTAAATGAATATTTTATCTACCCACTATGTTCTGAAATAACGCTGGTCGTGCTTAAAAAGAGAGCTGAATGCTGAATTAAGTCTTGTCGTCCTGAATTAATGCTAGTCAGTGCTTAATATGTCCTGTAATGGCTGGAACAACGCTGATAAGGAAACCCAGTATGTTCTGATCTACTCCTAAAAATGCCGAGAAAAAGACCACGATACTGAATTAGTTCTAATCATGCTGAAAACCAGCACTGACCCAAGCTTACAATAATGCTGAATTAAATCTCAGTAATTCTGAAATAATTCTTGCATCCTATAGTGAGTAAATTCTGAATCTGTTCTGAAATGGTTTGTTT